ACCCACTCTAACCACCTTTCTCTGCTGAGTATTGTTTAGCCTGTACCCCTTTCAGAGTCTCCGTGGTTTCCTTGTTTTGCCTTGCCTGTGTTTTCGGTTTCTGATCTTTGTCTGTTTTCTTGGATTTCTCCCTCTCGTCTCGCCCCTGTGATTCTGTCTGCTGATCGGTGACCTACGCTAGCCCTGGGACTATTCTTGTGTTTTGCCCGCCATATACCTGTTTGCCAGTGTTTTGACCCTGCCTGTTTCCCACGTCTCTTAAATAAAGCCTGCAGATGGATCCACATGTCTCACGTCTTGTCAGCCCCGTTACAGAATGCCTGTCAGAGTTGCCAAGTCATTTATGTTCACTGTATTCTCCAATGCATTGGTTGACACTCTGTCTGCTCACAGTTAATAGCCAATCAGTGCAAAAATATAAGTGCTGTAGTGTAATTTGTCAAATATTCCGTCGCCTCCGCACGCGCCTTCTTTTTGAACATGATTTTTCTTCAATGAGGGATTGAAGAAAAATCACGTTCAAAAAGAAGGCGCGTGACGCTGTAATCCAAGCGATGATAGTAGTAGACATAGAGGAGTGGGAGGACTTTTTTCCATTATAAGGTAGCCTAATTTTTAATTTTTTCAATGTTTTTGTAATGTATTAATTATCACGGGCTGTAAAAAAGAAACAAACGAAAAAAAGCACAAGTAGGCCTATACTAATACTAAGAGTAAATTTGGTTCGAATAGCCAATATTTTAGTAGGCTAAAAAATATGTGGCTATGTTACAGCTCCCCTTTGAAGCTCTTGTGTTTTTCTCCTTTTCCATTGGTCCAATCCTATTCTGCTCACAGGTGATTGGAGATGAGTTTTGTTCCTGCTTTGTTGCAATTTGCTGATTTTTGTCAAATAACTTATGTTTTTGCTTTTCAGATAAAAGGGTTATTTCAGTTTAATATGTTGCGGGCTCATTTATTGGTAATAAATAATTGATAAATAATAATCAAGCGTAGTGTTCGTTCTGGCAGATCACGTTAGTCAAGCTCGCATCAGCTGACTCTCAGCTGATCCCCATCAACCTATGGGAATACGACACCTAAGTATTCCTATATAAGGTACCGCAGTAGTATCAGCAGTTTTCGCATTGCTCAATGGCTAATTACCCTCCTCCATCCCCAACTCCTCCTCTGTCAGTCAGGATTCAGCCTTTTTATGTTTACCCTGGGGGGGTTATCGCTTCTCTCCCTGCTCTCATCCATGCTAGGCTGCATGGATGCGCAGGGAGTTCTTGCCCAGAACGGAACCATACCGCCAATCCAAACTGTATACTAATTGTCAATCATCTTTGACGATAGTGGTCCTGACAGAATTGATGTTAATAAATTATCAAAAAATATTGGGCTTGTTTTTGAAGCTGCGGTTGCTTATTTGTCTCGCGAGAGTTGGCAACAGTGATGCCTGTGTGTGAGCTGGTATGAAATTTCGCGAGAATTTGTGTTGCTGCTTTATGGCAACAACAAATGCACATGTACAGCTACCCACTGTAATTACAGTGATGCATTCCACTCACTTAACTGTAGGTGGCTTCAAAGTCACAAAAATGCACAAAACTACCTACGGTTGCTTAAATGTGTATGAGCAGCTTGCAGGATATTTGGATGTATATTTGCATATTTAGACTTTTGGCTGAAACCTAACAGCTACTGTTACTTTGCCTGTGTAAAAATATACGTAAGCATATATGAAATGAGTTGAACTCATTTTCAGCAAGCAGGACTGTTCATTTCACACGTTGCCGAAGCTCGAAATAAAATGACAGCAGTATGATGATAGAGACTCCTATAAGATGCATTTGTCCTGGTTTCCTGTTGTGAAGCGTAGCTCGCGCTCGAGTCCCTCCGCCCTGAGAGTGACAGAACAGAGAGATGGAGAGAGACCTGTAACACTCAGCGTCCGAATCACAGCCACAATCAAGGAGCAGCTCGTCAAGTAAGTGAAAACTCGACGTGTACGTAAAGTGCATAATTTTATCCTTTTCAAAACATACTAAAACACGTCAGTCGTTATAATTTGGATTATTTGTTATTAATCACGCGGACTCTGGTTTTATCAAATTAACATGCTCAAGAACATGTCTACAAATAATAGTTGATAGATTTGCGTAAACTCTCCTGTTGACGAGAAAGATACAAATTAATTGAAATTATGTTTATTTCAAAACTTGCATTTGTTGTTGCCGATGTGATTCTCATCATGAAAACACTCTGAATGATTCAGTGATCGAACCCTTTAAATGACACTGACTTGGAAATTCATTTTAGCAGCTTCGCTCATCTTTTTTTCTTTTTGTTTTGTAAATTAGACCTAAATTTCATGTCTCTTTCTTTATTTCTGTAATGACTGAGCTCTAAATCTTGAAATAGCCTATTTTCTTTCTCTTTACAAATTTTATGTCATTTAAATGCATTTATAAAGACTGATTTGTGCATGTGTTTTTCAAAATACAAGTTAGTGCTAGATATGTGTTATATGGTCAAAAGACTATCTTGAGTCCTAAAAAGAGCAGTTTGCTGACAATCACTAGTGTAGTGATTTTAATACCTTACCTTGTTTATTCAGTTTTTAAAAAAACTAATTTAGACAGTAATCAGCTAATCACATTTTCTGAAGCTTAGTTACTTCTTTTGGACCGGCAGATATACAGTGGGTACGGAAAGTATTCAGACCCCCTTAAATTTTTTTTATTGTTTTTTGTTCATTGTGATTCACATACTGTATGCGCCCATTTATCCCCTCATTCAGCTTATAGGTAATATTTTCTTTGTCATCTTATAAATGCAATCTCTCCTTACGGGGAGTTGGAAATTGTTTTGTATTGTGTTACTGGAAAAGCCACTCTGACTCCATCAGGTCCATGCATCATTAGTAAGACAATTACTCAGTTCTCAAAATCAAATCTTCCCACCTTCATATGCTGTGGTTTACTGAGCAATGCGTTTTGCATATTAAGTCTCTCTAAGGACTTTTCATTTTTGTGGCATTGTTCCATATGCTTGAAACATTTATAGGACACCACAAAGCTTGACCAATTTTTTTTTAAACTATACAAACAATTTATCTAAATGCATTTAGAAATATTATTGTTTGCAACAATGTTGGCCAGAGTACAAAATATTTAGTTGCACAACATTACTACAGCTCAGAGTCAGCAAGTCAAAAGTTAACCTTTAATCTTCGCAAGAGCAGTTTACTCACAAACACACACTAGTGTGGTGTTTGTATTCATGTATGCTTGACATTTAATCACGGCACAGTAAATCTCGGTAAGTGGACATGTGTCCAGGTGGCAGGTGTTAGTTCACCTTGTTCAAGGAGTACCTGAGAGACCTTGTGCACAGAACAAACATCACTGCAGCATTAACCAGCGAACCCAATATTCATTAGATTGACCATTAGACAGAAAATTATAATGCTAATAAAACCAAATTACAAATTTCAAGATTTCAGATTTGATCATCTGAATTTGATCCTCTTTCCCGTAATTCTAGCATCTGTACCTCTGCAGAAACAGCAGGCAGTTGACTTGAGCATTACGCTTACTGCTGGTGTTTGTATGCATGTGCTGCTGCACTATTGACCGATCTGTTAATGTTTGACACGTACATTCCCACTGTGACAGGATGAGTGCCGTCCGGTTGCCAGGCAGCATGCGAGGTGGACATGTCCAGTAGTGTGAATGAGAGGTTGTGTCAGCTCTTAAAATGTTTCATGGTAGCTGAAGCAAATAATCAGATGGAAATTTGCTGCTACTGACGCTTAATATGTTGTCTAAGATTCGGTTCAGAAAGTTTATAATCTGCCCATTTTGCACCAGCCCATTACATCTATCTAAAACAATCTAACACTGGTGGTTTTGCTGTAAACAGTTTTATTTTAGTATCAGTATTGATATACTATTATAGTTTTTAATTAAATTTTATATTTTCTGTTTTATTTTTATTTTAGTCCAAGTTTTAGTAATTTTGTTGTGTGCTTTTGTCATTTTTTATTGTTTTAAATATGTCTTAGTTTTTATCAAGTTTATTTTAGTACTTAAAATTAGACTAAACAAAGATGAGAAATGTTGCATTAGCAACTAGCTGAAATAAAATAAGCATAGGGTTTTTAAATATTTAATTTTAATTTATTTCCGTTATTTTTATTTTACTTCGGTTTAGTTCACAATAATAACCCTGCCTGTAAAATGTCTACTAAAGATTGTTCAGGGAAAATGGTAAGCACAAACAATTGTTGAACATTGTCAGTTTTTATTAATAACTATGGACAAATACATTACTATATCACAAAGACTGAATTTTAACCATAGACAACTGAAAAAGAGGTTTACACTGTAAGAAAAATATCTGTAGAAAATGGTACTGGTCATTTTCTGCCGGGATCTATCCATTATCTGTTAAATTTCCTTAATTATCCAACATTTCCTTTAACCCCAAAGCACAACAGTATGCAATGCACAATTTGAGTGAAAATTAAATACTGAATTTTTTCCCCCCATAATAACACAGTACATCGGGCACTATAACTGACATTTCTTAGAGTGTAGTTAGTAAATGAACTCTAGTGACTACCAAAGTCAACATTTTAATAAAATGAAGCTTATTAATAATCATGCTTGATATTCTTTGGGGATCTTGTTGATAACATACTCTTAACAAGCATAATTAGCTTACACAAATGATCTTCTCTCAAGGAAAATGCCAGGACTGAAAAATCGCACCACATGGGCCCCACTTTTGCTGAAGACATCCAATATCACTTCCTGTGCCAACGGTTGCTCTCTGGGCATCACGGCTCATCTCACATATGTGAATACTGACCCTGAACCTGTAGAGGGTAAGAGATTGTGCACACATACTGTAGAACAATTCAGACACTGAATATGTTATAAGTAGGAAAACAAACACTTGTCGTCAAATAACTGCTCTAAAATAAATCAATGCCCTCCTCACCTGCTCAGGTGTGTTTGTGTATCCTCTGGGGGAGAAGGAGGTTGTGGTGGGTTTTGAGGCAGTGGTGTCTGGCAGGCTGGTCAGTGTGGAACTCCAGAGCCGTGGGAAGCCAGAGGACTGCTGTTTGGACTGCTGCCCAGGATCAGCGCTGCACACCCAGTGTGGTCACAGTAAGGAGTGGGGATGCTGTGGAGGAGCAGCTCTGGAGGTACAGTGCTCCAACGGTGAGACTTTTAACCTGTTAAGGCCCATAACATTGGTATCCACACCAACGGATGATAAAGTTCTGTTTATTATAGACCTTATGCATCGGAGAAACTAGCGAGCAGTCATCTTTAGAATTTTGTGTTTGAACTTCCATTTTTTTCTGCTGTAGCTCTGTGTAATTATATAGCATCACTGTTGAAGAGTAATTAGCTGGTGAAGTGGATTGACTTAATGAAGTTTATCATGAGCATTGTAATGCCGCTTTGAATGCTCAAGCTCTTTAAAGTGGTCGTGAACTGAGAAATCAAAATTTTCTTGGTTTTTTGACATTTAAGAGAGGTCACTGTACTATAAAAATGTCCTGTAAGTTTCAGAACTCAAAACTTTCTTGTTAGTCTAAAAACAGCTTATAATGAAGCCAATCTGTCAAAACGACAGGGTGTGGAATGTGCCACTTTATGACGTAATAGTGTGGCTAAACTCCGCCTCCGCAGAGGAAGATCAACTATATCACGTAGCGGAAGATCAACTTCTACATCACTGCCTGTTTAACCCCGCCCACCGATTTGCGCATGTAGTGTAAATCAGATATGTATACATATCTATGGTGTAAATAACGAGAGAGGCAAACAAAATCAAACGATAAAGATGGCTCAGAAGACAACAAGACACTGTACAGTGCCAAGTTGTGGAAAAACTGTTTTTGCATCGCCTTCCTTTTGATCCCAACATTAGGAAAGAGTGGATGAACTTTATTTTTAATGAAGTTCCAGACCATGTCAGTAAGAACTTGGTCCTTTGTTCACTTCATTTCACCGTGGATTCATTTACAAACAAGGCACAATTTGACGCAGGATTTTCAGAAAGATTGAAACTAAAAGACGATGCTGTGCTGAATATATTGGATCCGACAGTAATGTCGCAACTCAGTAACTGTTTTTATTATGTGGTCACTATTGACTATTTGTCTGTTATTAAAGATCATTTGATATGTACCGAGTATTTATGCGTTTTTAACCTAAATCACAGCAGCGTCCATCTATGAAGGCTGTAGGCTGTCAAACATACACAACTGTTAGCCAATCATATCAGTGGGTGTTTGCTTCCGAGTCTACAATTCACCATGCTTATTTAAACGGAGCGTTCTGATGAGGGGGTCAAAACAGGACAGAAAATAGCCTATTCTAAATTATGATGTTTTTTGATGTAAAAATCTTGATAACATTATAAGCGGACCTCAGAGAACAGTACAAAATAATTTAAAAAGGCAGTTCATGACCCCTTTAAGGTCAGGTTTATTCAGACTGGCTGTAAATGTTTTTTATCATTCACCTGCTAGAAAAGATCGTTCTGAATGTGATTCCGACAATATCGTTCCTCTGTGCCGTTATGTATAGTTGTGGTGTGTACCTATTATGTGGAAGCTTTCCAGAATATCTCTTTTTATATCTCACAGTTCTGACTTTTGCCAGATAAAAATAGGTTCTTTATAGGTTCTTTACACCTAGTAACAGTTCTTTTTAGAACCAAATCATTTGGAAGAACCATTTTAGCTTTCAGCATGTCAAGGTTGGCAAAATGCCTCATTATGAAATTATTGAAAGGTTACATAATCTACAGTACATAATCCAGCAAAGAAAAAGTGTGACAAGACATGCCATCACTCAGCTTTACTTTTCTACTCTTAAAACACTGATCCCAGATCAAAATAAATGTAGCATTTAGAGTATTTTCTTTGCATTGTCACAGGCTTTTGTCACTGTTCACAAGCGCATACTACAGAAGTGTATTTGGCGACCTCATAAATCTTGTGTTCTCCTTACAGTGCTTTGTACTTGTCCAGCCTGGAGTATGCGGGCAGCATTTATTATTTCAGAGAGCTGTGTTGGCTCTGTGCCTGTTTTAGATGGTCCTTAAATGAATACAAAGTTGCTTTAGGTATCTGTGTTTCCGAGCCAACATCAGGTTTTTACTTTTTTCAGGTTTTTGAAAGATTGTTGTACTTTTTTTCTTCTTCTTCTTCTTTCATTTAAGGTCATCTGTTGCTGGATGAGGACCTGGAGAGGAGCACTTTTATTGTGAGCACAGGCCAGATTGGACCACTAGAAATAGTGTCCGTTGTCATCAGTACCACCCTTGAACTTCCTACACTTGAAAATGGTGCAATCCGCCTGGTCTATCCCACAGTGCTCACACCTATAGTCAGAGCGCGGATCCAACCAGGAAAGAGTGAAAATGGGGGGAAATCAGAGGAGAACAGGTAAGGTTAATCTCTTTAAGTTCTCCTTTACTACTTTTAATAATTACAGTGGTCCTGAAAAGCATTTGGAAGCTTTAGCCACACTTTAAAATGTATGATGTCTTTGCACTAAATAAAATATTAACAAACAAATGTTTTATAATCAAGCACAACAATAAAAAAAGAAGTCTTATAGGTTAAAAATGATAAAACAATAAATATATTAAGACAAAGTCATGATGTTCATAGTAATTATTATATGTATACGTTTTAGGGACAGTGTATATTCAAATTCTTAAAATATATGTATAACATGCCCTACCATTCAAAAGTTTGGGGTCGGTACGATTTTTAAAATGTTTTTGAAAGAAAGCTCACCAAGGCTGCATTTATTTGATTGAAAATATTTTGCAATATTACGTTATAAACCATAATATTTTAAATGTTATTACATCTAAAATAACAGTTTTCTATTTTATTTATTTTAAAATGTAATATATTCCTGTGAAATTTCAGCATCATTACTCCAGTCTTTAGTGTCACATGATCCTTCATATTCATGCTAATATGCTGATTTTGTGCTCAAAACATTTCTTAACATTATCAATGTAAAAAAAATATATATATATGTGATATTTAATTTTTTGTAGAAACCATGAAATATTTATTTTTCGGGATTCTTTGATAAATTAAAAAGAAAATAGAATTTATCAAAAATATTTATTTGACATCATAAATGTCTTGACTCTTTATTGTTACTTTTAATCAATTCAATTAATCCTAGCTGAATAAAAGTATTCATTTATTTAAAAAATCTTACTGACCCCAAACCTTTGAATGTGTGTAAAAAAAACTAAATAACAGAAAAATCAAAGTAATAAATATATTGTAAGGGTATTTTCAATAAAACACCCTTACTCTTTGCTTGATAATTAGATTTACACCATCTGAATAACAAATAGTGAAAATTGTGGGTTTGACCTCCCAAGAATCCCTTTGCACATCTCTCCTTCAGCCCAACTACGTGCTTTGGCAGCGTGTCTGGAAAGCAGGAGAGGATGCTGGGAGTTGGGCAGCAGTGCACACATGCTTTGCTCACCAGCACTGCCACGAACCTCTCGCCTTATCAGCTCAGCTTCCAGCTGCTGGTCCGAGGAGCCTGTCTGCTGGCCGGTAACATTCATATCTTTCTGTCCAACATATCCAACATAAGCAATATGATAACGGGAGGAGTAGACATACAGTAAGGTGGGCTCGTCTCTTACCTGTCTCGTTCTGCCCCTTTTTTCTGTTTGCCTTTAAAGAGTGACTGTACGTTCATGCAGGTTCAGCTTGTGTTTTGAAATAATCCAGTTAGTGTAAAACTTGGCATGGACATCAGTGATTATGATAGATATCAGTGCGCCTGCCAGAAGGAGCCAAAGCATGTCTGCAAGAGTGTGTGCAGAGAGAGTGTTTGGCTCCGGCTCCGGGCCACTAGAACAGAGGAGAGAGATGGAGGCAAGGTGATATCCTAAATCACAGTGCAGCAGTGACGCTGTTCTGCTCCAGAGGAAAGTGGCCACTCAGTTTCAATTGGCTCAACTTAAATTTAAATTGAGTAGGACAGTACAGAGATATTAATTTGTAAAAAAAAAAAAAAAAAGAGGAGAGAGATGGAGGCAAGGTGATATCCTAAATCACAGTGCAGCAGTGACGCTGTTCTGCTCCAGAGGAAAGTGGCCACTCAGTTTCAATTGGCTCAACTTAAATTTAAATTGAGTAGGACAGTACAGAGATATTAATTTGTAAAAAAAAAAAAAAAAAAAAAAAAAAAAAAAATTTTTGGACATTTACATATGTTGGTTTGTAAATGTTTTATTGTATTAGGATTTTTTAGACATGAACCATGGTAATATGATGTTTTTGGACACAGTATGGTAATGTCATTTTCATTTTACATTTACCATGGTAATACCATGTTTTTTTATACACTTACCATGGTAATATCATGAAGTACTTTGTTTGGACTACCATATATACACAAACTGTGTACTTTAGTATGTGAATATGGTACTCTTTTAATACCATGGTATACTGTACTACTGTTCAAAAGTTTGGGGTCTGTACGATCTTTTGTTTTTGCAATTAGTCTCTTACGCTCACCAAGACTTTTATCCGAAATACAGTAATATTGTGAAATTTTATTACAATTTAGAATAACTTTTCTATTTGAATATATTGTAAAATGTCATTTATTCCTCTGATCAATGCTGAATTTTCTGCATCATTACTTCAGTCTTCAGTGTCACATGATCCTACAGAAATCATTCTAATATGCTGATTTGCTGCTTGAAAAAAATTCTTATTATCATCAATGTTGAAAACAGTTGGGCTCTTGATATGTTTGGAAACTTTGATCTATCGGTCAGGATTCTTTGATGAATAAAAATTTTTAAAAAACAGCATTTACCTGGAATACAAATTTTTGTAACATTATAAAAGTCTTTCCTGTCACTTTATGATCAATTTAAAGGATTTTGCTAAAGTATTTGTTTCTTTAACAAACAAAAAAATCTTACTGACCCCAAACTTTAGAATGGCTATAATATTTTTATGGATAATATAGAAACCAAAAAAAAAAAAATAATAATAATAATAATAAATAAATATATATATATATAT